GGGGGTGTGGAGGGGAGAAAAACAAAGAGAGAAGAAAGGGAAAAAAGTGTGCAAACACCAGTCATGGTGCCCATGCAGTGAGGGGGAGAGGGGAGAGCTGGGGACTTCTGACTGTCCCACAGTTGTGCACAGCTAATAGAGCTCTGTTCTAATCAGTCTGTATGTTCAGGGAAGGTAGTCCGGCAACATGAGACTAACGATAAGGTTGTCTATACCTCCTTAACTGGAGGTTTTGGACTGCTGTAATGTGGGTGGTTGAATCTGGGATTTATTTCGCCTTCTCTCAGGCATCTCATAGTCCCAGAACTGCCTAGAAGTAGTAGACTATTGCAAAAGGCTGACCTCTCACCACATGGGAGACGAGAGCCCTCTGGAATTCACAATTGCATCTCTCGCTATGAGATCTGTTCAGCCCAGGAGGTCTACTTCACTTCAAATGGTTAATTCTGCACCATTTTCAAGCACATCATAACCTTTTTTTTCTTTCTTACTTGATGGTCTATAAATTGTTTCAACATACTCTTCACTGAGTCTTGTGGACATAATTATGATATTCCAACAAACAGTGACAAGTAACCACCAAACATTTCATTACTTATATAGGTCATAATTTGGGTCAGGAAAATGTATGGACCTCGAGAAAACATCCTGTATTTGGTGGGAACAGCAAGGAAAGTTAATTGTAGTCAAAGCTTTTTTTTTCTTCCAGTGAGAAATGGAGAGAATTAAAAAAAAGTACATTGATAAAAAAAATCTGATTGGATGATAAGGTGTATGCGTCCTGAACATGAACAGAATTCTTAATTCTCTTTTGCCATTTCTTTTTTATATACTTCGATTTCCAAGATTGGATTGCTATGCCCTAGTCAAATCGTTTTAATGGACTACCTTCTTCAACATGCACACTCCATTAGGCTAGAGTTCTATATGGAATTCTGTGGGGTCTTAACACCATGCACAGTAGATAATTCTTTGAATTGTTGAGGATTTTAATGTCGGAAGAATATTAGTAAGCTTTAGCATGGTAAATAAAGCAAAGAAAAGAAAATTGTTGCTGGGGGATTGTCAGCAGAAAAGGGATGCTTACCTTTTGGTCAGTACCGATTCCCTTGTTTGGTCCCTCTGTTGTGCAGTCTTGGGAAACAGAAGGCATTGTGGCTAAAAAGCTCCCTGACTCGGAAAGAAGAGGTAACGGCGATGCCCCTTCAATTTGTTCCCTGCTAGAGTAACCAAGATGTTCTACCTTGTCCATGAAGGTGGCTAATTCTCTCTGCAAGGCACTCAGCCTGTTGTTAAGGGCACTGACCAGCTTTAGGTCACTTGAGGCCTCGCTTTTGTCAAGACTCTCATTCAAGGCCTGCTCTGGGGTATCAATGGAAGGACAGATCTTCGGATAGGACGAAAACCCATTGGAGTCCAATATCATAAGGTCAATGGCTTTGCTAACAAGTCCAGCCTGTTCTTTGATCCTAAGTAGAGCATCGTAGTCTTTACTTTTGAAGAACTCTGAGCCCTCATAGTTGTCGATGTGGCTATTGCGCCGTATCAGCTTCTCCTGATCTTCCCTGGAGTCATTCTCCCCTCCAATTGGTCCTTCTCTCCTGATCTGGGACGGGACGCATTCGGCTGAATCCCCTGCTTCAGCATCTGTCTCCATGGAGAGTCGGGTGGACTGGTAGGAGGCCAGGTCGCAGCGCTGGAGGTTGGAGAGCAGGACCCTGTTCTCATACTGGAGTTTTTTTACCTTGCCGCTGAGCTCTCCAATCTGGAGCTTGGCATTCAGCAGCTCCTCCTGCGAGGGCTCGCTCATCACCGAGCAGCTGTCCTCCGACATGGTGGCATCCAGGTCGTGCTCCGATTTGTACTTGTTCAGCTCATTCATCAGCAGCTTGTTCTGCTCCTCCATCTCCAGGAGTGACCTCCTCAGCAGGTCAGCCTCTTCCTCCACAAACTGCAGGTGGCGCTTCAGCTCCACCATGCTTTCCCTGGAGTCCCCGTAACTGCTGGTCCCTGTGACCAGGTGGCCTGGGAGCTCCTGGCTTTTCATCTCATCCATCTCGGCCCTCAAGCCCCGGTTCTCCACCTCCAGCTCCACGATCCTGCGGCTCAGGAGGTTGGCCTCCTCTTCTACCAGCTTGAGGTGGACTTTCAGTTCGGCCTCCCGAGTGTGAGGAGAGTCAGCCACCTCCTCCACCGAGAGCGTGCTGTCCAGGTCTCCGTACAGAGATCTGTACTTCACCAGCTCCTCCTTCATGCTGTCGTTGTCCTTGGCCATCTTGGTCAGCTTCTTGCACATGAGGGCTGATTCCTCCTTTGCAAAGTGAAGCTGGCATTTGAGGTCAGCACTGTCCTCCTGAAATTGAACAACACTAAAGGGTTTGTTCAGGGGAAGACAATTGGGTTTGCTGGCCCTAAGGAAGTCCCACCACAAGTCTACTGTTTGTTGGCTCTTTTTAAATAATTATTTTGTGAAACCAGACAAGTTGCCCTTGTCTTATGATGCATATTGAAATGATTTCATTGTGAAGAAATGACCCAGGAAACCACGGCTGATCATGGAAAAAGCTAACAACAACTGTCCAAACAACTATCACATACAATCCAGTAAACTTACTGGAATGTTTCTTTCTATCTTTGTTTCACATGATCTTAAGTAAATTATCAAACGTGTCTGAAAGTAAGCCTCAAATAAAATAATGAAGTACTTGCTTCTCTGTATAGTGTCAAAGAGAAGTATTTAATGTACTGTATACGTAAAGCCTATATTTTGTTTATAGTAGAAAACAGAGAAGAGTAGTTTAAAGTACATCCAGTAATTTGATTTATTTTCAAGGACTCAAAATTTAAAACTATTTCTAAGTTCCTGTTCTATGTTTTGAGTGAGGAATGTGATTGCAATACGAAGGTACAAGTGATTACAGGTTTGGATACCTGCCTTTAACACATTTCTAATGGTATCTGTAATTTTCTTACGATTCTGTGCTACTAAAGGTGTGTTTACATGAACTAAAGTGAGAGTTTACAGGTTTCTAACTAGCACTGATAACATATTCTTAAACTTCAACTGCACCGTTGCTTGAATTTAATTAAAGAAAATAGGAATTATAAAATCACATGCCTAACTTGTTATTAAAGTAATAACTAGATCGTTCTTGGCAGTGGCATGTTATTTACTCAGTAAAGCTTAAGGACTAACATTAGGGTCTTTGATAACTGATAGATGTGTACAGTATATTTATTTATCATCCTGTACAGCAGGAAGGCTATCAGTACGTTCAAGCATTAGGATAATATTATTACCTGGGGGGATGGTTTCTTGTCGGTTTTGTTGGCCAAACGAGCTCCTCTTTTCTTCAAAGAGTTCTAAAACAAATAAAAAGAATGAACCAATGTATAAAAAACATAACTGTAAGCAGTGCGAATATTGTAAGATATCGTTATGGAGTATATCATTGTAATACAGATATATTCCTGCTAACATAAAAAGCTGGCATCCCATTAGCACTGCTACTCAGACATAAAAATGCATGGACATAATCTTCAGCCTTGCAATAATACATTTATTTATCCAGTAAGGATATAAAACATGTCATTAGGAATGCTCTTTGGGGTACCTGTGACTCATTTTATTTTTTTTATTTTTTTGGTACCGTGAGACAGAATAATTAATATCCACAATAAAACTCTGCAGTGTATGCTAGCACAGTCCTTTCCATGGCAACTAATGCTGTTGAAGTATTAAAAAGACAGCACTCTCTGCTAACACGTGGCATTTAGTCTGTTTAATAAGGGATATAATTTCAGTCCTTACAAAAGTGCTGCTGTTTCTAGAGTGGGGTGAGATCATGTAGCACTGAGTTTAAATCTTGCAGCTGCAGGATGAAATAATGTTGAATGTAATATCTGTAATATTTTCCTTCACAGTTTAACTATTAAACTACTAATTTGCCAGTGCTAGTTCTTCAAAGCTTTACTTTTAAAGACAAAGTTCAACTGCATACAAGCAAACAAAAACAATTAAATAGCCACTGTACTTTTTTTTTTACACAATTCAAAAGACTAGGAAAACGTCATGATAATCTGAAGTGGTATCGTGGAGTCGACTGAAATCCTCTCCTCCTGGGTTTCACAACAGCACATGCAAGCACAGGTCTTTATTTCCACAGATACAGTGCTCCCTCCCTCCTCACATTCATTCCTCAGCTTCCTGCACACAAGCCTCTGAATCCCACTGGCTTTTCTCCGCCTTGCCAAGCTGATGCAATCTGCTGGGTTATTCTGAACAACTGAAGCCGGCAAAAGGCAGAGATCTGGTATACTGGGAAACAGCAGCAGCAGGCTGATTCCAAAGGGGCCGTCGGTCTTGGGAAAACCACATGGCTGCCTCCAGTTTGAGGTTAAACTCTTTTCCTCCTGGAAACAGCAGTCTTAGACTGAATAAAGACAAATCCAGAAATGTATTTATGAAGTGCACAATGCCAAGTAAGACTGCTTCAGCATGGTGTGATCCACTCTCTATACCTACTTTCTAATCCTGACCCAGTTTTGAGACACATAAATGTGATGTCAGCAGATAATCGATAGACAAGGCTCCGTTAATACAGTAACAGCTGGCCCAGGACGAGCACTGCGATTGCTCTCATTTGTTTTTACCTCTTTATGGGAATTTCATCTTGTTCAGATGGGGGTGTTTCTTGTGCCAGGGCAAGCGTTGGGTGACATAAATTTATATTTTTCTGGTGGGCGGGCTGCCCTTCGCCACCGTCGGGCCAATGTGTTTAAACCCCAGGTTGGTGACTTAGAGCTTGCGGATACATTTGTTCTTACTCAACAAGATTAAAAAGCTGCTTTAGAGTCACTTGTGGGAAGCACTTACTCTTGCACTCAGGTGTACTCGTGTGGTGGTCTGTAAATAATGTCTTTGATCCCTAAATACTCTTCCTTTGCCAGTTGGTAGTTGGTTTGCAATTATTTGTTGTCAAACTCTTTGATCCTGCTGAAAAATTATTCATCCAAAAAGCCCCCGTGAGATCAAGGAAAACAGATGGCACTCCTCTATGGCTTTATTTTCATGGAAAAACAACCATGATTTTGTTCTGAAAGAGAAACGCACGGAGAAAACAACAAATGTTTTCATCTGGCATTTGTGTGTTGGGCTTTGACAGTCAACACCTTTCAACAAAAGGATTACTTTCCATAGAGCCCGGGACAGAATAATGGGCTCAAAAAATGCCAGCGTTGCGTAATCATCCCTTTGAGTACCTCATTAAATAAAATCTGTGGGATTCAGAGATAATTAAGCAGAGTTAAGTTCTCTCTTTGACTGAGACAGCCAGACCATATCAAGATGATATTGTTGCTGGGTAATGGAAAAAAATAATCATAATGATAATAAAGGCCAGCAGATATTATAACATACAATGGCTCTTTTTTTTCATGTTGGTGGATTTTCAGAAGCAATCAGCCAGGCTGTTCCAGAGGCACAGGCAACGAAAATTTGCTGACTTGGCTAGATTGAGAATTTATTGTACAGAGAGCCCTGATCATCCAATATAGAGGGGTCACAACCTGAGAACGGGGAACAAATGAGTCTCACTTTCCTGCTAATGAAACTGTCACGTCCCAACTTGAATACACTGTATTAAGGGTGTAGGCTGGAGCTTTCATGAAGGAAAGAGGATTCAGAGGGAGCTTTTTGAAAGCAAGATGTTTTTATCTGGGCTTAGTCAACCTGCCGTAGAACAGCCTGCTACTTCAGGCTGCACAAACTAAACAAGAAGAAATATAGCAGCACCCCACTTTATCTGGGAGTTGTTTTTAAGTATGACTCAAAAAAGCAGTGAATTTTGTCCAAGGAATTGTAGGGAGCAACTCTGTAAAATGGAGTTAAAACCAATCACAATGCAAAAAAATATATAAATAAGAATAAAAATATGTCGCAGTACCGTCATAAAGCACCTAGTCCACCAAAAAAAAACAGAAATACCCTTAAAATGTAAAACTTGAACATGTTTATATATTTCATATAAACACCATAAAGAACACTAACTCGTTAGTTATGAAGGAAACTATTCTGCAATTTCAATGCTATACGTTACTATTGTTCTTCCAGACACATTCTTTAAGAAGCACTGTTGGTAAGTTTGTTTTCCGAGGGCAGTTGAGTTCAGAGGACGCACAGTGTTTTGGAGACAAAAAAGAAATCTCTGCACTGAATAGGCTTATAAACCATTTTGCTCTATAGTAAGGTTCTTTAGGATCCTTAAGAACTGCTAATCAAGGATGTTCAGTGTAAATCCCTGAACCATTTTTATTTCCCAGTCTGATCTCAAAAGAAGACAACAACCGCTCATTATCAGTTCCTGGTGGTGAAAATCTAGAGCCATTGCAGTCAACAAGGAATTTGAAGGTTCTCTGTTCCTAAGAAAACAAACTGTTTTTTCTAACTCAAACAGCAAATAATTGGTCACAACAACTGCCTCTTTAGGTTAGCCCCTTTAGAGTCAATCAGGACAGAGAAATGTTGTGGAAAGGATGAGTGCCGGTCCTTAACAGCCTTAGTGAGGCCTCTCTTCATCCAGCAAATGAAGCTCAAGCCAGAATGGGTTCACGGTGGTTCCCATGGTAACCAATTGTGCTCTCGATTACTCAGTGGTTGTTGTGGAAGCAAACGGAACAAATTGGAAAAAAAGAAGAAAGAAATGAAATGAAATCAATTCCCCTCCCCTCCCTTGAAACCTGACAGCTGTCAATGTAAAAGCCAATGAAAAGCCTTCTAAGATATTCAGCTCCCTTCTGAGGCAAGAAACCTGACAACATGAAACAGTTCTTTCATTCTTGTCAGTTTAATGAATAGATCCATAAATTGTTGTGCTAAACATAATCCATCATTTTTTAGTGACCACCACCATGTTATTAAAATGAAAGTATATGTTAAAAACACTTCTAAAAATCAATTACAAGAAATAACAATATACTGATTGTTTTTGAAAAATTGCCTCCTAAGATCTCATTGAGTCTGACTTGCAAAACATTAGTCTGCTATGTAATATTTTTAAAAATATAGCTTCACGTCCAAAACTTTTTTTTCTGTACAACTTCCAGACCAAAAGCATGAATGAACTGAAGGATTATACGACCCGAGAGCTCAGAGATAAGAAACATTCACCTGCCCCCGTGTCCCAGCCCTGTTTTTTTTCCTGGCCTGCTCGTTTCCATTAATTCTCTTCTGCTAACTTGTTTTTGAAGCTGCCAGTTGTGGCTCTGCTCCATCCCCCTGAGACACCTGAGCTAATGGCCAACTAAGGCTGAGGAGAGCTGGGCTGCGTTAATGAGAACAGGCCTTGGCAGCACCTGTGCTGGGCTCTAGAGACTCCAAGTGGCCTGGCGTTAGGCTCAGCCATCTGCTCTGGCTACAACAGCCAAGAGCTTCTGTGAAACAGCCCCAGGTTCTGAAAAGGGCCCTGTGTTGGGGGAAGTCATGCTCCTCTGACTCTTCACCCCCTCACTGGTTGAAACGAACAGGAATAAAGAAAACAAGTGTTTAACCAACCCCTCTGCCATGGCAGGTCAGAGAAGATTTGCTGCAGTAGGGATCCCCTGTCTAAATACTAATAAGTTCAGGTGGGTAGCTGTGTCAGCATGCGTAGGCTGCAAAGGAACAAGTAATAGGTTTATTCACTGCTGAAAAGAGAAGAAAGAAAACAGAGTTTCGGCTGTGGAGCCGTCTTCGGGTGTAAGAAAGACAGGACAGTCAGCAAAGATAATACAGCCTGGGAAAACAAAAGCTGGGAGAGAGGAGGAGGCGGGAGCAGGGGAGAGGCAGAGAGGCCAATCAAGCGGTGCGAGGTCGAGAGAGGTGAGGAGAGGTGTGAAACGAAACCTACAGGTACAAATAATTTCTCAGGTTCTGGAAGTTACTCCTCTGTCCATCTTTGGAGTCAGTCTCTGTCCTGACTTTTGTCCTCAGTGCTGTCACCTTATTTGCCTGAAATTATACAATATGCTTCTATCTGGGTATCCTATGAGTATATAGCATGTAGATCAGCAGTCAGTGTATACTGTATGTATATAAGAGAACTGAGCAAATTTTTATACAGAAGCATTTTATGCTGCGTTTGATTGTTCTGAATGATCAGATGAATCAATTTTGCATGTTATTTGCCGGTTTCTGTTTGGAATCTTTTTGTTTCTTGCAAAGAAAGATGATTATTTTTTAAACAAGGCATACTGATAAGAGACACGATCAAACTTCAGTATGTTTCTTTTTGAATGCATTTTCATAGCATCTGCGTCAATTCACACCTTTTTCTTTGTACTGAATTTATTGTATTCCCTTCTCTGGATAAGTGTGACAAATGACA